AGCTGAAGGGAGAGGTCTATAAGACCATCATAAGGCCTGTCCTTACGTACGGCAGTGAAGCGTGGCCGGTGGTAGAGCGACACCGGCAGTTGTTGCATGTCACGGAGATGAACATGCTGAGGTGGATGTGTGGCGTCACGCGGAAAGACCATGTATGGAATACATACATCCGCGGCAGCCTCCATGTCCGTGACATTGCTGACAAGCTCCAGGAAAGTCGCCTCTGCTGGTACGGCCACGTCTTACGACGACCGGCAAGCTAGGTGAGAAACAAATTCCTGGACATGATTCTACCTGGTACCAGGAGTAGAGGACGGCCCAAGAAACGCTGGCTTGATATTGTGCAGGATGACATGCACGCCAATGGGCTAGTTGCGAGGGACGCCGAAGACCGGGCAAAGTGGAGGAAGTGTAGGAAAGTGGACCCTGTGGGTTCTCTCGCGCTGGGCGGGATGAGCAACCGGGATAAACGCTAGGTAGAAGAAGAAGAAGATCAACGAAAGGAACGAATTAGTTGACTCATTGCTTATATTAATCCACTGAAGGGATGACCGTCCGGTATGACATGCAGGAAATGATTGTACCGGTATTGAGGAACGTGTATGTGGCATGATTGTGATGATAATGGTGGTGGTCGTAATAATCAATATAATATGATTATTCTATAAATTATAAAGTGAGGAGATAAACAATCTACCAAACTATAAGCAATTTTTATACTCGTCTATAATTTAACTCGTAATAATTCGTTCTAAAGAATTATTACCCGAATTTTTAAGTATAATTGTTAAATTATTTCACAACCATTTAAAGATCAAAAATAATAAAATGAACCAAATAATTTTACATATTTTTCTTTTTCCCCTGAGTTTATATAATATATAAATATATATATATATATATATATATATATATATATATATATATATATATAGTACTATATATACTATATAAATTATCATAGCGTGTGCTATACTATAATATTTAAACCCGACCCCAAGCGGTTGATGTTGATATAACTGGAAAATATTCAAAAGTTTTCACCTATTGCCTGGAAGAATTATCATTGGATTTTTAAAGCAGCGATGCAGCTTTAATATGGTTGTAGCGCGAATGGATATGCTCAATCGGGGAAGGATTACTTTTAAAGAACATCAGCGTAAAATAGCAGCTTAATACTGCTACGTAGCCTTAGCAGCATTCGTTTATGTGTCAAATATACTGCGTGGGAGTAAAATTGCCATTTTTAAATGACGTTGTTCCGTTCATCACCTTTAGATCTCTGAATTCCCGACAATTTCAAAGTCCGGGGACACGAGACAGCCTACAATCAAAGTCCCGGGATTTCCCGGGACTTCGAGACTTTTTCGGAACTAGTTTTTAAAGAGAGGTAAGCCTGTTTTATAATTGCTTTGTTTATTTCTTTTAATCACGCACTCATTCACTTTTAAGCAGTTAAATCTAAAAGTTATAGAACGAACTTAGTTCAAAATCATACTAATTCTTAATCACTTTACTTTTATCTAGTAATTCTAATATCAAATCGTTGGTCATAATTACAGCATTGTTAATTTTCATAATCACAGATTTGTTTCATAATTAAATAATCTAAATATAATTATTAAACTACACTTATAAATCAGTATTTTAAATAATCAACTAACACATTAATTAGATTTCTTTGCTGATTTATAAAATAGGCTTTTAAAATAATTAGAGCGTCAACAGCTTTGTCTGACAATCTGTTTCTGATTTTTGTAATAATGTCACCAGACAAGGGAACAACCTCTCGTTTTCAACACATAAGGTCGGTTTAATTGTGTTTAAGACTTTATACAGTACATGGTTCCAAATTTTCAGTACGTTTTTCGGTTTCTTCAAACAACTGAATCTCCTTTTTTAATGTTGCTCTTTTTTTCTTTCTTGTTCCATTTGATTTACAAAATACTCGTCAGGCTTGTTGTGTACTTGAGAGCTGCTAGTACTAGGTTCAGCGCCCATTATTTCCACATCTAGCGTCCGAATACTAGGCATATTTTAGGGCATTTATTCTAGGCATCCCTATTTATTTTTGTATTTTCATTTTGTTTTGTTAAAGTTCTTCCGCAAAGTCAGTTAGTGCAGTTTTACTAATATTCGAGGTAAAAAAGTCCGTGTTTTGAGACTGTAAAGTGTGGTGGCCAATGTGCAAATATTTTACCAAGGATACAACTCGTTATGGCCTTCTCTCTTCTAGGTGAGCTTTCAAATTTCGAAGAACCGCTTCGCCAAATTATTATTAGTTACTCTCAATTGAATTTTTTTGAGCAACTCGTTAATTATTGCTACACATGTAAGTAATGAAGCGTTATGTCGGCCTAAAGCTTCTACAGCGATCTTGACTGGCTGCAACGAATCAACAATTTACTACAAAAGAAGATTGTCTTCATTCCAATTTTCTAACATGTTTAAATCAATAACGCTTTCTTCACGCAATTTTTGAGCTTCAAAAACCGTTCCACCATCACAATGACCACCTTATTTTAACATCCAGTAAAGTTAAAGTAAAGTAAAGTTACAGGCTATGTACGTCCCACTGCTGGGCACAGGCCTCCTCTCATTTCTGAGAGGGTTTTAAGGCAAGGAATAGTCCGCCGCGCTGCCCCAATGCGTGTTGGGGAACTTCACATATCTTCGAAATATTTTTTTTTTTCTTATTTCTCAGACATGCAGGTTTCCTCACGATGTTTTCCTTTACCGCAGAGCACGTGGTAAATCAGCACTTAAAATTGATTTTAACGATTTCATTGGTGCCGGCGGGGATCGAACCCGGTTTGCTCGCGTATTGTGAAATTTATAGCGAGCGCTAACCATCTGAGCTACCACGGCTCTCCATTACTACATCCAGCAATAAACTAAATTCAAAAGAAGCACCACACCACACTCACATCATAAATGAAATTGACGACTGAGTGACTCAACTGACACAGACATAATCATAATCCAAACGTCACAGAATAACTGATATGGTGGCATGATGCATTTATTGTGTTGTGTGCTCAGTAGTTACGTAATAGACTACGTAATTATTCATTAAACTTACAGATGGCTCTAGGCTCCTTCAATTACGAGTATTTGAAAATAAAAATGATTACATACCAATTTCGGCAATCTTGTCTCGTCTCGAGTCTCGACCCGAAAGTCACGGGACTCGAGACAACTAAAATTACGAAAAGTTTCGGGACTTCAAGACACCAGACGACCCGGGACTCAAACCCTAGTTTTGAAGCGTATCGCTGCGGTCATTAACTATTTAATCAGACTTGTTGAATGTCAAAATATTCATCATAGATAAATAGATTGTTAGAAGCAAAATGACACAGCGAGCGGTGATTTTATTTTTTACTCATTTTTTTATTAAAATAAAACTTAACAGTTAAGTTTTATTTTCCAATAATCCCTTGCAATTAAAACCGCGCGTTAATAAAATAATATTAATGAGATGAAAATTGGACTTCCCATGTGCTAAAATATCTCTAACGAAAATCGGATGTAAAACATCTAGAACGGAGATGTTAATAAAAGTGCAACCAAATTCAATAAACAACCTAAAGATGAATTGTCATTTCCGCTAAACGAGATGTAGTGCTTTGCAGCCGCCTGCTTAAAACAGGACGGATTCTTATCGAACAGTTAAAATTTATTTCAAATTGCCTTTAGGTACGAAACTCAGGTTACTCTCACGTAATCTTATATGTTAGTCATTTATGTAGCGAAATTTAAACGCATAGTCATAACTTTGAAACAAAAACGAAAAAATGATGATAATTATGAATATGTTAAGCGCATATAGATGATGAAGGTAGTTATTTAAAATTAAATAATTGATTGCACTTGACAATACCAAATGTTTACCATGTTAACGCAATTCTAGCCACAAATTATCCTGGAGGGTAAACAAATGTCCTAACTAGAGCAAAATACTACAATAATTAATCACTGGCAACATTGCGATAATAAATTAACAGACGATGTTCCATCATTCAATTCCTCCGCACAGTTGTTCCTGAATAACCGACCTGTGTTGTTTATATGTTCATTGTTAACCAAGAAAATAATTTGCAAATACGTATAATATGTAGGTGTGTCATGTTCATTTATCTTGTAAGCGGCAAACACTTGCTTTTAAGATATATTATAATTAATAATACTAATGTCTTTCAGTCTGAACTTCGACTAGATCTGCACATGACAGAATAAGATAGGACAGGATTAAAGTGCGCGAATGTGTGCACAAGCGCATGTGCTCTCTCTATGTCCACACTCGCACAGTCCGATAGAACAGCAATCTGACACGACCACAAAGGCACGAGGAATAAACGCCGTCAATTTTTCTAACTACTGATTTTTGGCCCAAACCAGGATCCAAACTAGGTCCACATGATAAGCAGTCATGATTACAAACCACACTTCCGACCAAAGCAGTCAATTATTTTTGATAATAATACACACTAGTTATTTTGGTTTACTCTGCACTAGCTTTTTGCGGGTTCGTGGTTTCTTTGGTATTAGTTGTAATTGCCACACTTTTCACTCCGTCGACTCTTGCAGCAGGGCAAGAAGTAGTGGATTCTTTTACGCCACAATATTATTGTATTTTTTTAATTATCACGATCATTAGTCCACTTGATAGATTTACTTCAGACGTAAATCAATTGGTAAATTAAAAAAAAAGTCAATTACCATACTTTCATTTTATTTGTTTTAAACAGTCTTATGATCGAGCGACAAGTTTACAGTTCAAAAATTTAAATACTTTTCAATTTGGCGGTTCTAAGCAAGATTTAGATTATACGAGCTTATTTCTGTAAATAACATAACATCGTTGTCTTTTTTTACACGAGTTAATAATAACAATCGTATTTACAAAACTTTTCACGTGTAATTGAATTACGTTCCTCAATTTAAAGCATAAAATGTATTCAATACTATTTACAATAAATATTCATTTGTTGTAACATCTACATAATCATGTTGTATAACAATATGCTGCATAACATCAATTTTAATATCCTATTTGACGGCAACTGGATTTCAGATATTCCTTTCGCTGCTTCCGTTAAACCTGTATAACAATTTTTTTTATATAATAACCTTATTTATAAAGCTCTCATTCCTTAAATGTAAAAAATACGTTGTAGAGTCAGCTGCAGTTACTTATGGCTGCGGCATAGATGGGTCAGCTCGATCAGGGTAGGAATACGCTCTAACAGAATACTACCGTGGAACAGCAGAATAATGATGTAATTCGAATGGTGAGTGTAGAGAACCGGAGATACCTTTTAGTGGTAACGGGATATTCCATCTTCATTCTCTGGGATGACAACGCGTCTACATTTCGATTTGGAATTAAGGACAGATGTAGGCGTCTATCAGACAGCATCTAATTAAAATCCGGTAAACTACTTGCTCACTTGTCATTGTTATTCTATAAAATAAAAATGGCGGGAGTTATTAAAATATATTTTAATGGATATATAAAATCTTATAATAAAAGTTTTTGTTTATCATCTTGATCATCGTTATCATTATCATTATTACAGTCTATCAAAATCCACTACTGAACATAGGACATGGCCATGGGGAGCCATAGATTGCCTCGTATTTGTCAAAGATGCCACGCTTCGCTGGCGGTTTCACAACCGCTGCTTAGAAGATGTTGTTGCTGATTAATTGCTTTACCCATGTTACATAAGTATTCCAGTGTGAAACAGGAGCACGATGCTGCTTTGTTTTATATAATGATTATCGAATGATTTTGTAACGATAAAGTGAGGCCCTTTTTATTGGTAACGAGACTTTTCTTCATCACCTACACCTGAGGGTGAAATCGTTTGTGTTTGCATTTGGGGGAATTTCGCCATAGCTGACATGCTTGCCGAGCGGGTTGTCATTCGCAGCTTTTTATTATTTTAAGGAAAATGCCGCTACACATCACCTGCTTAAATTTCTCTCTGTCGTCTCTTACGACATCTACGGGAGGATATGGGGTAGTGAATATTCTTACACTCCACTACACGTTTTGTCACTCTAACTTGTATAAAAAAACCCAAAACCTACTAGGGAGGATATGGGGTAGTGAATATTCTTACACCTCCACTACACGTTTTGTCACTCTAACTTGTATAAAAATATAGTACAAACTTCGGGCGCGTGATAAATCGCACGCGCAGTTGATAATTTATGGTAGTTGTTGCAAATTCGTTATAGGAAATTGATCTTATTGTTTATTTTTTGTTTAATTCCCCTGAATATAGGTACCAATAAAATTAATATATTTTTATATATTGTTATACCAAAAGACTAAAAATTAAAAAGACATCACTTCAAATCTGCATTCAAATATTTTGTTAAAAATAATTAATTATTAATACCAAATAAGTATAATAAATCCAAACATACCTCCAGCAACACTGATCTGGTTGTTGAAGTCGTCTGTTTGAGAATTGAGTTTAATCTCTGTAAATATAACATCAAGTTAGCACAAAATATTTTTTTCTCATTGAGCTATTATGTACTACGTACTAGTGTGCATACACCGCACTTTAATCAGTCACTCGCTAGGCGCTTATGGAGTTGACATGTGTTGTTTTGATTTAAAAAAAATCTCTTAATAAAAATATGCCGTCATGTGTACTTAGATATTGCACAAATAATTCAAGAAATTTGAGTAAAAACCAAGGAATTACTTTTCATCGGTTAATAAGATATTTAATCAATAAAAACGTATTATGTATTAATAATAAAACAAATTATTCCTAAGACGCCATCTCTTGTTATGGAATATAGATTATGAAATTATTATGTATGTTCAGATGCGACATGTCTGTGGGTACCTAAGTTTAGGACGAATATATTATTATACACATTTTTTTGTAGAAATATAATATATAAGTAGTTATAATTTGGCAAAATTTTCTTTTATTTTATTTTTAGGTTTACATATCAATGTCAAAGTTTAATAAATTCGTCCATTTTTAACACTAGCGTGCCCAACATTTATGAACGACTTTTATTCTAATTTAAATAAATATATTTGTAATCTAAATGTTACGTTAATAAGTTTTGTTTAATATGTTTTTTATATTTGACTTAGATACCTTTTAAAATATTCAGATAAAATATCACTAAAATGTAATTGTGATATAATATTATGTAATGTTATATTATTAAATAAGCAAATATAATATACAAAATAAATGACAAAATTTAAATATTGTTCTCGATGTAGTTTTAGGTAAATTACACAATTTTGACAATACAATCTACTATTACCTACTAGTCATTCTACCTGTGTTTATTCTATGAAAAAAAAACAACCGCGCGAACACAGAGTAGCGCACTTTTTTTGTTTGAGATAGCTGTTCTACATAGTACGTAAGTACATATTACTTCAATATTTTTTTCTCGTATTAGTAGGTTACGTAATGAGACGTCTTACCATACAATCGAAGTGTTCCTTCACTCTTGCCTAGTGAGTTTGTGCTAATGCAGTTATATGTACCGATATCGCTTTTAGAGAATTGCTTTATTGTAAGCCACATGGAAACCTTGTATGATGTTTTATCTTCTCTTATCGTATACTTTGGACTGAAATAGATCAAAAACATAATTTATCTGTAAAGGGTTATTTTGCAATACATGCCTAAATTTAATAGTGTGGTAGCACCATGGTTTCCCGCGTATGTATATCACGGGTCTAAGCTGCGTAACATGACATGACACCTAGTTCAAACATTTTGGATAGCATGCGCGGAAAATTGGCAAAATTAATGGAGTACTTTATTTTATCGACATATGTATGTTATAGAACAAAGTAAAATTTTATCCACTCTCCCACCTCTCCTGAGTGAGTGTCGACACCCCGCGACCCGTAAAGTGTCTCGAAACGCGTTTTTTTCCAGTTTTAAAGAAAACCGTACACGATCCATGAAAAGTGTGTAGGTACAAAATGATCCTTGATAAATATTATTATAAATTCGAATATATGTACAAAAGCGATATCACGTATAGTTTCCGCGCAGTCTGCCACGAAATATTAACATTTATTTATATGTCAGTGAAATATAAATTAATTTTTCAAAATAGCGTAGCAACGTGAAATGAAAGAGATTAGCAATAAATTATACCTCTTTTTGAAGAGCATCTTACATTTTTACTTAGTTAAACCTTGGCGGTAAAATGGGAAATTTTTGAAAAAACAAAACTTTAAGTAAAAAAATCGATAAATGATACAAAATGTTCATATTTTGTGGTAAATTTCGAGGAAACTATTAGTAATATCACTTTTGTGTGTTTAAAAGATTGGTAGCAAATTCATCAAGGATAATTTCGTACCTGCACAATTTCCATGTATCGTGTAACATTTTTGAAAAAGTGAAAATAAGCGCAATTCGGAACACTTTTTGGGCCGCGGGGTGTCGACACTCATTCGGTAGGTGGAGGGAGAGTGGATAAAATTTAACTTCGCTCGATAACGTACATATTACGATAGATAAAATACTCAATTAATTTTGCCAATTTTCCGGCTAAAATTATTAAACAAATCTTGTTCGTAGAAACGTTCACTGCTGGTTTCTCTCAGTTTTCATCGGGCGGCTAGGGCTTATGCGTCGTTCGTGCGCAGAGATGAGTGTTAAATTAATTTAATTTTTCATTGTCTCTTAACCTATTCGTCTAAATAACAAGCTATAAACAGCAAAGCATATCTTCATAAAATTGTATTGGTGATGGAGTAACATTCGTTCGTAAGGATTAATATGCCATGGCTCATAATAACGCTGATAAATCATTTTACAATTTTCAATTTTTTTGTCACAAAATGTCTTATTGTGGCTTATGTATACGAAATAAGCATATACCTTAAGATAGAGTAAAGGTCTGTTTTCTTTTTGTAGAAAATTGTATTTACGTATCAACAACCATTACACCAGTTCACGCGGATAAATCATTTCGAGGGTGCTTTTCCTTCTGACTTACTTAACAAAAATCAATATCTAAGGATAATTGAGAGATGTAGTCTAATTCTAGATAGTCTATACTATTTTTCATAAATCTGGCTATAATATACGAAAACAATTTTTAAAATCGGACTGGTAGTTCCAGAGATTAGTGTGTTTAACAAACAAAAAAAAACTCTTCCGCATTATAACAAAATATAGATAAATGACTAAAATTATAAAGTACTACATTTGGTAATATTTTTTTCACTAATTATTCATTATTTAAACGACACCTCCGCACTAGGGGTTTTTTCTCTATAGTGGAATTATTTTATATGCATATAATATACTCGGACAAATACTAGGCTATAATGTGTGGGAGTAGAACCTTCTTCCTCACAATGTGTTTCTTAACTGGCGAGTACGTGATAAATCGGCACTCAAAATTGCAAACTATTTCATTGGTGCCCGTAGGGATTTAACTCGATTTGCTCTCGTGTTGTGAAATTTAGGACGAGTTCTTAATCCCCAAGCTACCACGAATCCTGCCTTATTTATTTTATTATAATATATAACTTACCCATCTAATAACATTTCTCCTCTATTCTTGATCCAATAATTAATTGTGTTCGGATACGCTTCAACATAGCATTTGAGTTTCACGTCAGTTCCAAGTGGCGCACCCAACAACTGATTTGGTACTTTTACAGTTGGAGCAACTAGTGAAAAAGGTAATATGTTAATGAATTATATAATAAAATTAAACTTAGAGCTTATATACGACGCATTGTTAGGCATAGGCCTCTTGTTTCTAACGGGGTTATGAAGAAATTAGTGGTCCAGTACAAGCTTTTTGGAAATAATTTATTTTTCATACTTGCCTTACATTGTAGCTATTCACTGTCAATCAGCCTGAGTGGTAAAGTACTGCTATAAAATGCAATTAACAAATTCATTGCTGCCGGCGATATTAAAATTTGGCTTAAAATTTACAGCTAGATCCCCAAGCTACCACGAATCTAATAAATTATGATCCTTCCTACAAAAAGAGAGGCCCAAGTCTAGCAGTGTATTCTTACCGACGAATATTTGAGAAGAAATATTTAACCTAAAAAGATCTCTCTTCTAAGGATAAATCGTACTTATAACACTAATACAATACAGTAATACAACCTGTGAGAGTTCTTTGTATTTTAAACACCCTACGTACGTAAACGAAAGTACTCTGTCTGTGTATTTATAGAATTTTATTTAATAAATCAAGTAATATTTTTTAAATAAACTGGCTGAAAATTAAGTAAAAAATCTTATAAGACCGAGAGAAGCTATGGAAAGTAAAACCTCTCAAGACGTTGTGAAATGGACGAAATTGCTTAACTTTTCAGTTAACAGTGTCGAACCCGGAGGAGGGAAAGGTTTTATATCAAACCCGCAAAAAAACTCTAACCAAATAATATAAAACATTGGAAAGGAGACATAAAAATTGAAACAAATGGTGGTTGACCAAAGATGTCACGTCAACTATCATATCTGCAGTGTGCGTACTTCTGGAAGTACTCAAGAAAATTAAGCTTGTCAAAATTAATCTTCAGATTTTATCACAACTGCGCAGCTGATTTACTCGTATCAATGGTAACGCGCCTCCAAAGATTCCGTCAATCGCTGAAAGAGTTAGGCTTCTTTTATCCGGGTCCCCAATGGTCAGTCCGCGATAGTGGAGTGAAAGTTATTATAATTACCGCCTGTACTTAAGCACTACAAAGTCTGTACATTTTCATGTAGGCCGATTTATACTACTAAGAAGGGCTTAGGCACGGAACAGTTTCCAGATCACTCCCAAAGGAGTGTTAAAGGGGAAATAGACATTAATAACAAATTGTTAAGACATGGGGACATTTTAAATTATACGTTTTGCATCATACAACTTATATTTTAACTTTTAAGTTTACGAAATAAAACTTTAAAAGTCTATTTGCTCTAAATGTTAACAATGTAGTAAAAAATTGCTATTTTATTTGTAAGATTATTGTGACGTACTATGACGATAGAGAAATTATTTTTGGATTATTTTGAAATGTGTTTGTAACATAATATAAACATTCACGCCTGTCACCCAGAGGGGTAGGCAGAGACTACGGACTTCAATTTGGCACGATTCTGACATACCTCTTTCGCCTCCTTTACATCCATATATCTACGTATACATGCTCGTCGGTTAAGGGTACTTCTAACGTGGCCCATTTTCAAAATATCGCCAATGGTATGTTATGGTAATTCATAATGCTGTGTTAGTCCCTACTTTAATGTATGGTAGTGAAAGCTGGGTGTGGCAGAAGAAGCACGAAAGTAGAATAAATGCTGTAGAAATGCGGTCTTTAAGGAGTATGCTAGGGTTGAATCTGAATGACAGGGTAAGAAATTGCGTGATAAGAGATAAATGTGGTATGCAAGATGATGTTGTGACCAGGATTGAGAAAGGAATGCTTCGGTGGTTTGGTCATGTAGAAGAATGAATGAGGAAAGAGTGACAAAGCAAATTTATATGGCAGATGTGAACGGTAGAGTCGGGAAGGGACGCCCTAGAAAAAAAAAATGTGTTTGTGTTTAAATATTTAAAGGGTATTGAATTCTATTATACCGCCACTTTACTGCTATCATCGCATGGTTGTCATAAGGAGCTATATAGGGAAATGAACCTGGATATCAGACGCAACAAAATATTTCTGGTAAGAACTTAAACTTTGACAAATGTTTACCAAAGCACGAGAATAAAGTAAACGACTACAGCATTTAATACTTGTACATTTTTTTATTAAATTTTTCGGTGCGTTCAATAAGAAGTATGTTTGGAGTTATTCTACGTGATAGGGTGATGAATTTTGTAATAAGAGAAAGGTGTGGTTTGCAAGAAAATGCATGCAGCGACAACGATTAAGAAAGGAATGATTCGGTGGTTTGGTCATGTAGAAATAATAATAAGTGAGAAAGGAATGGAACAGCAAATTTATGTTGTGGAAGTGAACGGCAGAGTCAACAAGAGACGTCCCTAGACGGAAGTTTATCGACCCAATCGGAGATATATTACATATAAAGTGTACCCTTAACCGACGAGCATGAATGCGTAGGTATATAGAAGTGCATAATCTCTGCCTGCCCTCTGGGTAACAGACTTGAGGTTTTATAATGATTTCTTATATTTACCCGAACACTACACATTAAAATAATACTAGTTTTTACGCATTTTATCGCGTATATTTAACTATAAATACCTGCCGTTTCGAGCACTTTACAGCACCCATGGTCACGGGGGGGGACTGAGATGTTCAAGGTCCAAATGTCATAGTTAACAGTGGTTACCATAGATAAAAATTTAACTTTTATTCCGATCTACACAGTATGAACTTATGGTATCTTGAAGTCTTGCAGTTGTATGCTTGGGTTGGGATTTAATTTTATTTATTATAGGAACCCAAGCAGATGGTAGCACCCAGCCATCTTCTCTATTGAAATTAGGATGCTTTTTGATTTCAATAGCCTCGCGAATCATCCTTGGAAGGAATCGGTGTTCTGTAGCGAGGATTTGTGGTCTATCACATCTGATATCGGATTTTTCAAGACCTGAGATGATGGTAGTAAGGATACTTAGACGTAGTCATGAAATTATTTTACTATTATCAGTTCATATAACTGAATAATTTCTAATAATTTATACGCTTGAAAACGGTCAGTAATTAAATTTAAGAATTCTATAATCATTATACATGCATGATAGATAAATTGTGAGTAAAAATACTTAAGAATCCTTTTTTTATGATCGTTTCATTTATATTATAAAAAAAATTCAAATTTTTAACAACTCTCATATTATAGTAATAGCTTAACTTATTAATTTATCTTCTATTTATTACAAAATTACAAAGGGCGATGCAAAATAATTGCGAAGGACGACTCCCTATTACAAAAAAATACAAAGGGCGTTCTTAATTTTAACAGGCATTTTTACTGTTCAACCCAAGGAGTGCTGAGAATTTAAAAAAGGTGTAGCAATGAAGAAGGATAAAACTAACTTACAATTGACAAGAAGTGTTATCCGTTTACTAACAGCAGGCGGAACGTCATTCGATGCGATACAAAGAAATGTACCCATTTGCCTTCGGTCGACTCGTAATAATGGCAAGGAACTCCCTACGTAGCTTTCCACTGCAAGAAAATAATTAACTAAAACATATGATTTAGGTTAAGTCACGTATAGGGGTTCAAACTCTTTTTTAAACATCAGCACAGGATCACAAATAAAAGTGTTTATTTGCGTTACACACATTTGAAGAGATAGTCCATATTCCTATCTTATATGCATATAATATGAAATATGCAAGACTATTTTTAGCAATGGACTTTTAATGGGCTGTAATGATGAAATCTATTTAAATTAAAGACCTAAATTCCACAATTTTAATTTGATTTTTAAAATATTTTTCATATAAAATTATTAATTTGGTTGGTGGTGGTAATGGTTTATGGCCAAAATATTGGCTATTGTTTATGCAAGCTTATGGTGGTGGCGTGAAGCCACGCCACTATTTCTTCTCCGTAGATATTATAAGAGGCAACTTAGCCTAAAGGTTCTAGCGGTCCTCGATACATTGTCTTGTGGGTCTGTAATGATAATGATGACGATTTTGTTAAGATTTTTGCACACAGGGACTAAAAATCCACCTTATGGTACGCGGCTTCTATAGCCCAAAAACTCCTGCAAATTAATTTTAACCAAGGTATGTATATAAGGCATCTATTATTATACAGTACTTGCATCTCCGATGACTGATACGGTGTACTTCATAGACAATAATTGTACTTGCTTCCCATATTCTATAAACCGAAATAAAGCAGTGGACTGTTTGCTTCTTGGCGCCAGAAATGGAATGAAGGAAACGTATTCCTACCGATGCCTATATAAAAATATATTATTAACTTATTAAATCTAGCCGTGCCTTGCATGCGTCATTTTTATTAGAATACCTTCGCGAGCGCGCTCGCAACAAGTCAACAATGTTTTATCATAATCAGTTATGTGGCATTGGAACGGGTACAAACAAAGAATCATTTGTTTTTATATTATATATACATAGAAATCGGAGAAAGAAACTTAACTACATATGATTTTCATTTTGAATATTATTAGCCTATATAATGATAAATTTGTCTATACTTGTAAACAATATTTATTTATATTTATAAACAATATTTTTAGCTTAAAATATTATTTGTAATTTTATTTTCAGCGGATATTGAAATATATAGTTGTATAAGTAGTATGCTAAGAATAAAAGCAAGAAACATTTTGCAGAATTTCCGGGAGTAATTTGCAAACACACCTGCGACTCACGTTGTTCTACATACGAAAGCGAGGAACGGTTGCCAACACGGACTGGGAATTACTTTGCGAAAAATAGAAGAACGTAGATCAGTCACAAGCATATTTTCGTGGCTATTATTTATGCTCATAGGGTATATATTCAAATATTTGTTTGAAATAAAAAATGCCACTAGTTGAGTGATTTTTATTATGAATTAAAAAATTATTGTTTAAGTTAACTACATAGACACACAAAGTTTTAAAATTGCGACACCATAAGCTTGAATCGTCACAGACCACTTTCAATTTAATTTATTATCTGTGTTATTAAGAACTTTCTATAATATTTAAATAACGAAATATCTTTGAGTTCAGGCGATGTTTTGTGACAACTGCAGCTTCTGAACATCTTCAATCAGCTCAAAAGCAAAGAAGGACATAGTTGCTACCACGGAGCTAAGATGTACACATCAAAGCCCGGGACCTAACTAGCTTTCTGAAGTGTTAAAACAAGATCAAAATAGAGATAAGCATATATATATAAAAATAATATATATATATATATATATATATATATATATATATATATATATATATATATATATATTATAAATAAATGTATGCATGTATAAAGGCATAAGTGCGCATAAACTCAGATGGTCTGTAGGCAGTAAAGGTGCCCAAGTACTCGTATATACTCGTTATCCCGTAATTAATGTATAACCTTGAAATGGGTCTCGGTGGAACTTAATGACCATTCAGAAACTCAATCGGCTTTTATTGTAATAGTAATACACCTTAACTAAGCTGAAAGCACAGAATAAATAATAGTACTACGTACAGAATTTGCACTCCTGTGATGTTGACTGCTTGCCGACATTCAATAGCCTGCACAATTATTATTAATTAGATAAATCGCGCACGCAAGCTAAATAAAACTTTGTCGCTGCGCGCGAGTTTTCGTATTACTTTACATCTTTTCCTCTTCCTACGTCACGGTGGACTTTCCGTGGTTACTAAGGGATGTCAATAAAGAGTAAAAAAAATATGTTGCGAAATGGTAACTAAGTACAGAATAGGTACTTTACGTAAGTAAGTTGAAGTATCTATTCTGGCTTTGATCGACTACCATATTTTCGTACCTATGTGACTTTTGCAACTTGCCATGCCATTCGTCGTGAATCGCTATGCTTGGTTCAGAAGAAATAAGTAGATAGTGTAAACAACAAATAAATCTGAAATACGATTCCTACAATAAATGTGATCGTATTGTACTTAGTTAAAAATCTTGTTAGTGAACAAAAATTTAATTTCAGTATTTTGTGTTCTTACAACTTAAAATATTTTAATTAGAAAAGAAAAGTATAAACACTATTTTACGGTAGTATTCTGTGAGAACATGATCCTTCCCCGGTCGAGCCGACCCATTTGTGCTAAAACTTTACTACCAATCTACTACGTCTAAAAACGATCTTCCAAATTTATTACAAGCGGTGCCCAAGGAGGAGAGAATTTTACTAGTTGCAAAAGGATTTGCAATATCTTTTCGTGCATATTTAAATCAAACATACCCAAAAAATGAATTAGCCGTCTGGAAATTTTGAGGGCCCCCACGTTCACCTGATCTAAATCCGCTATACTTTTTTATTAACACTATTTTATATATAAAGAAGAAGTTTACGCAAAACTGATACGATCCTTGTAAGATTTACGTAGCCGTGTCCGGGCAGCCGCATTGAAAATAAGCGATCGACGCTGTACGCAACTCCTAAGGAGAGATTTTTTTGTAGATGTAGGGCCTGCATCGCAAAGCTGATACGATCCTTATAAGATTTACGTAGCCGTGTTCGGGCAGCCGTATTGAAAATAAGCGGTATCGACGCTGTACGCAACTCCTCAGGAGAGATTTTTTTGTAGATGTAGGGCCTGCATCAGAGTTGGTGGCAAACAATTTGAACATTGAATGTAATTTATAACGAATACAGTGTTATAAATGTCACATACTGTTGTTATTAAAACCCAATGATCAGGTACATTTAATGAAAAAAATATACCAATATTGCGGACTTTGTTGTTTAACCATATTTCACTCCTTTTAAACACGAATAGCAATAATTCACTATTTACATTAGGTAAAATGATGAATAATATAATTTTGAAATTTACTTTAAGCACATATTTTAAAATTATTGATCACGTGTGATGCAACATGATATTTTTATGCTACGGTTGCTTAAACTTTATCAAAATTAATATTTTGCACCAGAACAATAATCCAAGTTTTTATATGAAAGAGTCGTGTAATAGAATTTATACTATATATTGCTTATCTATCAGCTCAGTTAACTTAAATTACTATAACTATAAAGAAACCGATGGAATTAATTAATTTGTGGACATGGTGTGCAAGAATGTAAAAAAGATAATAAAAATAATCAATTTTAACTAAAAAAACATATCATGGTACTACTTGTTTTCTTTTTAATTTTTGCTGAATGGCCATTACTCCTACCAAGACCCATTTGAAGGTTATTTATTAATTATCGGACACCCGATATATAGATTGTTTACCTTTTTCGAACTCTCTAGACTGAGGCTTTTTTAGTAAAATTGGTTCATGGTCTTCTCTTCGCCAAGTGATTTTTGGTGGTGGGTGGCCAGTTGCTTTACAGGTTAATGTAGCATTCTCTAATTCTTGAACTGAGACGTCAGACGATGTATCATCGCTAATTATATCTGGAGGCACTGTAAAGAATGAACAAGTATTAATATAAGTTTTTTTGGACATCAAACTATTTTTATATAAGAGGGGCAAACAAGCCTGCGGCTCACCCAAGGGTTAGTGGAGTATACCTTTCATATCTGTATATACATTATACATTACACCTTATATCATTTTCGATTAAATATCAAAACAAAAATGCGTTACATGACATGACAACAAAGATGGAATGCTTTGATATCATTTAAAAGGGTATTCTTTACACATTTGACTCTATATAGACTAGGGAAACAATACTACTTGGTTTATGATCAGATGGGCTTTTTGTTAAACAATGATTTACAAGCTATAAAATCCAACTGGCTTACAGAATCATCACCTTACAATACCATCATTATTCGTCATCATTACAGCCCTTCACAAGTCCACCGCTGAACATAGGCCTCCCTCAAGGAATGCCACAATGCACGGTCCTGAGCCAACTGCATCCATCGACTTTCTGCATGTCTCATCAGGTTATCATTCCACCTTGCCTACCGGTATGAATTTGCCACTCAAGAACCTTATACCCCATATGTTGTAGGTTATTTCAGCTGTATGGCTGGTTCATTGCCACTTCAGCTTACTAATTCGTTGAGCTTCATCACAAAATGTAGAGAAGCTAAAATATTATTTAGGAATGAATAACTGTCAAATCATTTATCGTCGTTTTGGGTAGCTAATTGTTGCAGCAATAGAAAAAAATTTGAAATATTTCAAACTGATCCCTTCCTTGTATAAAGACGATTTAAGTTTTTTAGGCTATTATCACTTTTTGAAATTAAATTATAAATCAGGTTTTTTTATAAATCTTAATTTCGAAAGTGAAGTATGATTATCAACTGCTTGCTATCCTGATATTAAATCAAACCAAATTGTCTATCCACTACTACTACTATTGGTACGAATATCCACTACCCCACATCATTTCATGGATGTCACAAGAGGCAGCGGATTAAAATAAAAACACGAGATGGACGGTAGAACTTTCCTGATAACAACTTGAAAAAGTGCAGGTTGCTACCCGTCTGATAAGTACGGCAACTATGCCAAAATCCCCCTATGAGTCTACTTTTGGGCGAGGCCAATATTCAGCACTTAACTTTTCGTAGGATAACTAATAATAATAAAACCCAACCCCAAATAAGCCACTGTAAGACTTCAAAATACAGTTACCTCAGTCTTCAAAGATGGTTACAAAATTAATAAGTATTTAAAACTAAAGTTAGCCCGGAAATATCAGTACACAAAGGACCTCTGTCTCCAAGTGACCACGAATATTGAAAAAATACTCGAAACGTCAAGAGTTGAAAATAAGTTAAATCTAAACACGTAAACCGTGTGGTGGCGGTTTACGCGAATTCATCACATTTCCTATCATTCATATTGTATGAAAAGACTATTGGAAATACCAGAAAGATTTCATGGCTATCGATAGATGGCAGTATAATGATTTTATTTTTTCATACATTTATACTCGATTTAGAATCAAACTGTAGATGAGTTATCACGCAAGATGACTAAAATTGAATGCCTCGTCACCAGTAAAAAGACTGTTTCACGCAGGTATTCTGCGAGAGCGTGGTTTAAATCCGGTCGGATTCACCTATTCCTACTGCAGTCATAATATATCTGCAGCGTGAATCTACCACGAGAAGGTACACCAGACCTAAATAAAGGTTGCGGAACTTCTATAAAAATAACTACATAATCAACGTGTAATAGTAAAAATCTAAAAGTAGCCAGGAACGCTTAAAATATTGTTACGAGCTTGAGGTTCGTGACAATAAAAATTGCCGATAAAATTACCTAAATTAACACTTTAATTTACTTTACACAAATTAAAGTTAAAAACACTAATGATTAAACACACTTAATTCCGCTCCGAAGCTTCGCTTGTGTCGCCGAGTTCAAGTCTACTTCGATCGCATCTTGCAGCGCCTACTTATATAAATTAGCAAAATATCCAGAATGTTCAAGTAAACACGCGCAAGGTACCGAGAGTTCGAGTTTTAAACTTCAAGAAGTTTAGTTCTTCGGTTCGAGACTAGATGGCACTAGTGCGCCGATTTGAGGCATTGGAGCGCGTAACACTGCCCCCTCCTAAGACATGCTCGTCCCGAGCATTATCAGTCCCATAATAACGCGCTAGGCGATCCACATGGACGATCTTAGGAGTCCCTCTTGCGCCTTTCTGTATCCGGTAGGTTACATCGTTGATCCTGGTCACAATCCGGTACGGGCCGTCCTATTTAGCTTGAAGCTTAGGAGATTTCCCCTTGCTGTGGACTGGATTGTGCAACCACACAAGTGAACCTTCGTCGAACCCTTTGTTGTTCATTTTGCGGTCATACCGGGTTTTCATCTTTTCAGACATTTGCTGGCCCGATTGTCTGACGTGCTCATAAACGTCATTCATTTTGTTCCGCAAGTCATTTGCATAATCGGTTATACTGCGTGGAGCATCAGATGGTATCCCGGTGATCAGGTCTGTAGGCAGCCGTAATTCTCTTCCAAAGTTTGCGAAAGCTGGTGTCACTGCTGTACTTTCGTGAACAGCGCTTCGATATGACAACAAAAACGGTTGTATGTGCTTGTCCCAATCTCGTTGCCGATTGTCTACAACTTTTGCTAGGTACCTCTCCAATGTCTGATTAAATCGTTCTACCATTCCATCAGATTGCGGGTGATAAGAAGTCGTTCTTGTTTTATGAGTACCCATAACTCGGCAAGTTTCCTGGAATATTTGAGACTCAAAATTCCTTCCTTGATCGCTGTGAATCTCTAAAGGTACACCAAAACGACAGAAGACTTCACGAACTAGCTTATCACCAACTGTTGAAGCTTCTTGATTTGGAATGGCGAAGACTTCTGGCCACTTAGTGAAGTAATCCATCACAACCATGAAATACCTGTTACCGCTTTCACTCTCCGGAAACGGCCCCGCCACGTCAATGGCTATTCTCTCCCATGGTGCACCAACATTGTACAACTTCAATGCACCTCTACTACGAGCCTGAGGTCCCTTTACAGCCGCACAACTTGTACATTTGCGACACCAGTCCTCGACATCGTTTCGACAGTGGACCCAGTAAAACCGTTCTCGGATCTTCAGTAGAGTTCGTTTAACTCCCAGATGGCCTCCTGAATAATCATTATGGTACAGCTGTAGAACATCCGGTACTTTAGCTTTAGGGACAACCATTTGTAAATGACAGCTGTCTCCCCGAACATTTTCCCATTTACGGCACAGAAGTCCATCCCGAAGCAGCAAGCTGTCCCACTGGGCCCAATAGCTTTTAGTGGTCGAACTCATCGCTGAGACGTCGCTCCACTTGGGCTTGGGAGCACTGGCCTTCATCCATTCCAGGATCGGCTTGATGTCCGGATCTTCCTGCTGTGCACGTTGTAAGCTGTCCTTCCACTCGTTGCTGAGGTGGTCTGCCCTGAGCATCCTCACGGATACCACTTCCTTACTCTCTTGCCTAGTACAATGTTTGCAATCTTCAGGATCCATGAGATTTCCCGTTGCGATGTTCGATCTCGAAGTCGTATTCCTGCAGTAGTTCAATCCACCTCGCAACTTATCCTTCTGGATTTTTAAACTGCAATAGCCATTTTAGTGCAGCATGGTCAGTTCGTAAGTGAAATTTTCGCCCCAGAAGATATTTGCTAAAATGCTGCAACGATTTTACCACAGCTAGCAATTCGCGTCTTGTGACACAGTAGTTCCTTTCCGGTTTTGACAACGACTTGCTGAAGTACGCTATCACGACCTCTTGGTCACCATTCCGTTGAGACAACACACCGCCAAGTCCTATATCACTTGCGTCTGTGTCAACTATAAATTCTTTGCTTGCATCAGGGTATCCCAAAATAGGTGTTTTGCACAGACGGTCCTTGAGCTCCTGGAATGCGATATTGCAACTTTCATCCCAGCAAAAATGTCGCTTCTCCTCGGTTATCTTGTGCAGAGGTTTGGCTATATCTGCAAAGTTCTTCACAAATCGCCGGTAATAGGAGCACAAACCCAAAAATGCTCTAACCTGCGTCTTGTCTTTTGGAACCGGCCAATCCTTGACAGAGGCGATTTTCTCTGGATCTGTGCGGATACCTTCTTCCGATACTACAAACCCCAAAAAGTTAACTTGCCGTTGGAATAGTGAACATTTCTTCGGGCTCAACTTGAGGTTGGCACTCTGAATCTTCATGAGCACGCGTTCCAGGTTTTGAAGGTGTTCCTCAAACGTACGGCCTATGATGATGATGTCATCCAAGTAGACCAGACAGGCATCGCTAATTAGCCCGGTAAGTACAAGTTCCATCAGCCTTTCAAACGTTGCTGGAGCATTGCACAACCCAAACGGCATTACTTTAAATTGCCACAGACCCTTTCCCGTGGAGAACGCAGTTTTCTTCTTGTCCTTAGGGTCAATTTCAACTTGCCAGTAGCCACTTTTCAGATCCAGCGTGCTAAAACACTTTACTCCTGTAAGCATGTCCAGCGTGTCATCAATTCTTGGCAAGGGATAGCTGTCCTTCTTCGTAACGTCGTTCAGACGGCGGTAGTCAACACAAAACCGCATGCTGCCATCCTTCTTCTTCACCAGCATTACTGGTGAACACCATGGACTAGATTAAGGTTCAATAACACCATCCTTCACCATTCCCTCAATCATGGTTTCCACTTCCTTTTCGCGTGCTACCGGCAATCTTCTTGGCCGCTGACGGATAGGCAATTCTTCTCCTGTGTTTATTTTGTGTTGAACTAAGCCAGTCTTTCCTATGTCAGCATCGTTTGATGAGAATACATCGGCGTACTTCAGTAACAACTTCTTCGCCTTGACCTATTCGTTCGGGGAGAAAACACTGCGACAGTCTTCCAAAAGTGTGGTCACTCTCGTTTCTGCATCCTTGCTGGGGGTCCCACTCGATATATATTGGCACCGACGTAACCAATCCACTTCCTCACAAGTACCAATCA